AGTGTGGAGAGAGACGTTAGGAAAGAAGTGGAGATTAGACAGCATTTTCTTAGGGGGATAAAGAGCAAGGAAGCGTATTAGGCTGTTTTACATTATTACTACCAATTAATTGTGAACTTTAGTTGTTCTAGGAAATGTCATGCAAAAAAAAAATCTTTTTTCTTCTTTTATCTCCGTAGATGCTGATTCTCTGAGGAATGGAAATAATGAAGCTAACAGCAAAACAAAGAAGGGAAGCAAATCTGAGGATGAAACTCTGAATTCTGTTTTGCAGCATGGTTTGAAAGAAGAACCAGAACTGAGTTTCGATCAGTTTATTCATAGATGTTCTACTAAAGAAGAATTGCAAGAAGATGCAGGGCAACTGGAGATAAATGCTTCTGTTTCTGCAGTATTAGCTACTCCTGAAGAGCATATTTATAAGTCATTAACGCCTGTCTTTAAGAAAAGATGTCGGCAGCAACGTATCATTTCCCCTTGTGAAAGGCCAAATGAAATTCAAGGCCAGCAGGAAGATTTAGCATGGCTAAGTAATAGCATGAGCATCAAACCTCTTCCTAAAGCATCTTGTTCTACAAATAAGCGTGATAAAATCAATTTTAATTGCAAATTCTGTAGTTCTGCATATAAAAGCTCTGCGCTTCTGAAGAGGCACATTTATTCGGCTCATAAAAATAAAAAAACACATAAATGCAGCTTTTGTAAAAAAACCTTCTTCTTTTCTGTCAACCTGAAGAACCACCTTAAGCTTCATAAGATGAATAAGTTGCAAAAGGAAAGAAAAAATAAAATGAGTGCTAGAAGAGTTAGGCAAAGAACTGAAGAAAGAAAGTTGGAAAGAAAGAAAAAAGAAAGTAAATATGAGAAATACTTCATCAAAATTGAGAGAGATTTTACATCTCTGGGCGTTCCAGTTATTTTTTCCTGCAAACTTTGTTTTTTTGATTCATCAAATCCTAGGATTTTTATTCATCACATGAAGGCACATAAAGAGAGACCACCTTACCAGTGTCCTCAGTGTGATTACTCTTGTCCTACCTTATCTTACATGTTAAATCACATGTACTGGCATGCTGGGTATAAGCTGTACAAGTGCAGGTTCTGCACCTTTTTTTCACTGTATTTTGCCAGCATGGTTAGGCACAGCTACATGCACACAGGGCCAAAACCATATTCCTGTGAGTTCTGCCAGTCAGCATTTACAAGCATCCGTGGGTTAAAGAGACACAGAAGGTTGCACGTGAGTGAGGAACCGTGCAAAGTCAGCTTTGGAAGTGGAAGAAAGAGAACTCGGAAACCTTCCAAGAATTACACATGTGATGAATGTAACGTACTTTTTTATACTAGAGGTCATCTCAATTTTCATAAGAAATGCCATGAACAGCTCAAGGTGAGTGCTAATGGTTATATGAATCAGAGCAATGAATACCTTAAAAGCAAAGGATGCAAAATTGAAAGTGATTCCAAGGGCTGTGTTCCTGGACCTCTTTCTAATGAAGATGATAGTCTCACTGGGGGAGTGTGTAAAACTCTGGCTTCAAAAATGGACTTTGTGCAGGCAGGTGATGTGCAAGACAATAAGAAAATGTGCCCTGGAAGGGCGTTTACCAAAAACAGCCACTTCAAGAACATTTCACCTATTTTTGGGAGTAGATCAGAAGTTCAGGATTCGTACAAAGTGAACACTGTAGTTTACAAAGAAGACCCTCTCTTCAGTCCTGAAACCTCTCATTCGCAAATTGAAGACAGTAAAAACAATGCTGCATATTGTAAGCCCAAAGATATGTGGCCTTCCAGTTTGTCTGTGTTCAAACTGTACAAGTGTAAACACTGTGATTATGCTACTGCTCTTCATAGCAACTTTAAGCAGCACCTTAAAATACATGCTGATAAAGGACAGTTTGTGTGTCAGGAATGCAACAAGACTTTTAAAACTTCAAACCGTTTGCAGAGACACAGGCTGCTTCATGTGAATGATCAATATGAATTCAGCCATTACTTCTATGCAGACAGCCATCTGGAGAATCTTGGATTGCATCATGAAATGCAGGTAGGCACATGTCCAGAAAGTGATTTTGGCTCCTCACAGAGTTTCAGTGGAGTTTGTTCGATGCTTGCTTCAGGAATGTATGGAGAGCAGACAGATACCAAGACAGACAAAGATGATTTGCTAGCGCAGAGTGAGCCACGATTCTATCAGTGTGCAGAGTGTGAGTACTCTACTTACATCTTAAGCAGCCTCAAACTACACATAAGGACTCACACAGGTGAGAAACCTTACAGCTGCAGTGTTTGCCAGAAGGAGTTTCGTACCTCCAGTCACTTGAAACGGCACCAAGTCCTGCATTGCAATACTGAGCATTTCAAGTGCAGGAAGTGTGACTATTCAACAAACAAATGGCTGTCCTTAAAACAGCATCTGGCTTCACATGCTGCGAATGAAAGCTCGTTTACTGACTCTCTCAGTGAACAAAAGCCACTACCTGTCAAAACGTACACATGTGAAGAGTGTGGCTATATCACAGTTCACAGTGGAAACTTCAAGCAGCACCTGAGAATTCACACGGGGGAGAAGCCATTCAAGTGTGGGCAGTGTGGTGTTGCTTTCCGCACGTCCAGCCACCTGAAGCGCCACTTGCTGGTTCATGTGAAGTTTCACTGCAGAAAGTGTAATTTTTCTACAGTAGATAAATGTGCTTTCCAAAAGCATGTAAAAATGCATAAAAAGAAAAAAACCAAAAGTGCAGCAAGTGTAATGTGATGTCCAGTAAGAAGCTTTTAGAAAATCATAAGCAGCAATATAATTTTAGAATGTAAGCTTGGGGTTTGCAAGCTAATGCTCAGTTCTAGAGAGCTTTGCCTGTCCCAGGTTTATTTATTTCTGTACATTTCCTTGCTGTACCTAGAAATGTGGCTGTTAGTGGACAAAGCCAGTGTTGTGGTCAGGAGTGCAATTCAGAATTCTGCTTTGCTCCAGGTTCTGCTGTGAACTTATTTCTAGTGAAGACTGAGCTCAAGACATTGGAACACCTCTTCATACCTGCATAACTGAAAAGTTATTCTGTAAGGTCAGAGTTATGAATTGGCCTGTGTTCAGTGACAGCATAAACAGTTTTATGCCACTTCCTTTCATGTTTAAAAACAAGTCTAACAGCAGGAATGCTTAAAAGGAGGGATAAAAGTTCACACTGTATCATATAGTAATCGTTTTTCAGTTAAGAATTATTAGTATGATTTGAAGCTTACTCCCACCTGCTCCAAGTTGTGTTCCTTGCTGCCAGGCTCTCCCGTAATACTTAACAAGAGAACAAGTTTGTATCTCACAAAATAGTAATGTCATCACTGGTTAAGTGTGCTGCGGAAGTATTTTCTGTATGTGTATAAATGTAAAATGTTTTTTAGGTAGTTCATCATGTCTGTAGTTGCTCCTGATAATTCTTTCAGTAGTTTCACAGGAATAGTAATGTTTCTCTTAATGAAATATTTTATGATACTGAAAATCCTTAAGTTAACCTTCACAAACTTTGTGGAGATGTCTAATGTTACTCTAGTATGAAATGCCTTGTCTTTTCTCAGACTAGTAATTACTGTACTCTTTGTTTCTTAAAATACACTATGTCATTCTGTTTGAAGATCCTTTCTGCTGATGTAAGTATTTGCTGCTAAATTGAAAACACCATCGTAGAATCCTTAAGGTTGGATGAGACCTGTAAGATTGTCTGGTCCAGTCTTTGAACAGTAAAACTTAGGTTGTTAAAAAGGTTTGCTGTGCATCTAGAATACATCCAAGGGACCACTTGTGTCAAACTGCAGTTGTATTGCATGATAAAGATTCAAACTTCAAATATTTGCATGTTTAACAGTGATGTTGGGCTTGAAACTCTGGACAGCAGTGAATGTATGTTCAGTGGTATTTATGAAAGCACTATTACCCTCTTGTGTGCAAAAAGACAACTGCAAAGGAGTGGTGGTCATTTTTCCTAATGTTACAGTTCATCCCACGAAACAGCAGAATAAGCCTGTAGCTTAATTTAGAGAATTTAAACGTGAAATTGCCATTGCTTTTATTATTGTTCTCAAACTTAAGATTTTTCTTATAAGCACAGATAATATTTTGCAGTGACTTTCTGGTAGTGCAGGAAAACAGTTTGTCAGAGGTGGATGGAATCGCATGGATTGATGTTCTGACAATAAGCTGGAGGGCACTCTTTGGAAGTGGGAGGACAATGAAGATCTTAATGTGACTGAGCCAACCAGCCGACGCTGTTGTGAGAAACAATATCCTAATAGGGATAAATGGAGGTGTTCCTGGGAAGCAACAGAAGAGCAGAAGTTTTGTTTAGTTGCAGATGGAGGCAAGAAGATATTTGCAGGTGGAACTTAAGGTTGTCAAGCATCATTATTGCAGGTGGTTGCTGCTAGTAATTAACGTTTGGGGCAGAAATGATTCTCTGTCTTCCACCTCAGAGATGTTTGGAGGCAAAAGTGTGCTCATTTTTAAAATAAAAACGTAGTTTGCTTTGTTCTGCGCCTGTGTTTGTTTTAGGGGGGAACGGCTGAAATGGCTGTATGCTCAGAGTTGCAGAGCCTGTCCAAAATCATGATGGCTTTTGTAATCAAAGCGTTTATTATTTTGCTGTGAACACAACTATGTGATGCGATAGGCAGTCGTACACTGGAAAAAGCAGAAGGTTGATCGTGATAGCGCCCAATCTCGGGCTGCGTTTCCCCAGGAAGCTAGGATGCGACGGCGGCACGTTCGACCCAAGGAGCCAGCAGTCAGCACTGAAGACGCACATAAATAGGATAAATAGCTGACGGGGAGATGAGCCGCCTGCGCTCAACCCGCCCCCTCAGGCACCTCTCCTCAGGAGGCTGCGGCGCATGCGCAGAGCGCCCCACCTCTGTTCCATCGCGCAGTACGCATGCGCACGCACCGCACTCCCTCCCCCTCGCGCCCTCACGCCTGTGCGCCTGCGCACAGTGTCAGCGGCGCTTGCGCGAGGGTGGGCCGGCCCCGCCGTAGCGAGCGGCGTTCCTTTCCCATCGCCGCTTTTTCTCCGCAGGAAGTCGATCCCCTTCGCCGCCAAGATGCCGCGGATTATGATTAAAGGCGGTGTGTGGCGGAACACCGAGGTAGGACTCGGTTCGTTCGGTTGGGGCCCCGGCGGTGTGTATGTGGGGGGGGGGGGGGGGGGGCGGGGGTGGCTGCTCTGCAGCGGTGCGCAGGCGTGGGCGCAGGGGTGGTGGTGCGCATGCGCAGTAGGCAGCTCGGAGGCACAGACTGCTGCTAGCATACCTGGCTCAACTCTCGCTGTCAGCAGAGCTCAGTGCTGCTCTTCAGCTCCTCCTCTGCTATGGAACAGACCCGGTTGCCTCAGCCACTCCTCACGTATCTTGTTCTCCAGACCCTTCTCCTCAGCAGCGGCTGGGGGATGTGTGTGGGTTGTATTGCATCCACAGATGTCCTTTTCTCAGGCTGGAGCAGGCCTAATAGTGTGTAGGCAGAGTTGTTGCACCCCGAAGGTGGTTGGAGGGGGTGGGAATGTGACCTAAAAGCCCTTAATGTGTAAATGAGTGCTCAGGGGAGACATTCAAAAGCCAGGCTGGTTGGGACTCTGGGCAGCCTGGTCAGGTAGTTGGTTACACTGCACATAGCAGTGGGTTGGAACTAGATGAACATTGTGGTCCTTTTCAACCCAGGCCATTCTCTGATTCTGTGACCTTGTCACTCTCTACAGCTGTTTGAAAGGCTGTGTAGCAGGGTGAGGCCTGGCCTCTTCTTCCAGGAGACAGTGAGAGGATCAGGGGTAATAGCTCTAAGTAGTGCCAGATGAAATTCAGGCTTGATATTAAGATAAATTTCTTCTCTGAAGGAGTGGTGAGACATTGGAACGGGCTGCCCAGGAGGTGGTGGGGTCACTCTGCCTGGAAGTTTTCAAAAAATGTGTAGATGTGATATGATTCTATGTGGCACTGAGGGACGTAGTTACTGGGTATGGTGGAGGTGGGCTGACTGTTGTATTAGATGATCATAGACTCACAGAATGGCCTGGGTTGCAAAGGCCCACAGCGCTCCTCCAGTCCCAACCCCCTGCTGTGTGCAGGTCGCCAACCAGCAGCCCAGGCTGCCCAGAGCCACATCCAGCCTGGCCTTGAATGCCTGCAGGGATGGGGCATCCACAGCCTCCTTGGGCAACCTGTGCCAGTGCCTCACCACCCTCGGGGGGAAAAACTTCCTCATGATCTTTGAGATCTTTTCCAACTTCAATCATGTTATGATTCTGTAAAACAATGAGGATGGCTATGAGCTCATCACCTGCAGCCCAGAGTATTTTATCTGTAAGAATCTACATCTTTCAGAAAAATAAAAGAAACAAAACACAACTCCCTTGCTCTCGTTTTTGCCACCACATGCTTTCAGAACTGCACATGGTTGTGAGAAAGAGAGCAATAGCACATTTCAAGGATGTAAAAATTTGTTATTAGATGTTCAGAGGTAAAGGAGATACTTGACACTGTATAATCCAGAATTCTGCAACAGTATACTGCAAAGATCAAATCTGTATGTGATTCTAGAAAGAATAGAGAATTCTGAGAAGAATCAGTGGAAGATAAATATATTATGTACTTTATGGGCTTTTAAGCACTGAGGTGTATGGCAGCTTGTTAATTGTTTCTAAATTGGAGGTCTGCAGAGGGTGCTTACTTTCTTTTTGTGGTCATCTAGAATTGTTAAAAGAAACAGCAGTAGGTCATGTAGATCTTTGTTTCACTCCAGAGATGAAATAGCATTTTTAGTGCTATTGAATTAACATTGTGGTTCTATGTGCAGCATTAAAAATGCTCCAAGTGGAACAGGGTGGTATCAGGTCCTTAGGAAGATGGCTGGTTGTTTGCAAAAGCACCCACCACTATTGTAATCAGTATGGCTTTTGCATTGCCATGTAACACAAGGGAAAATTCAGAAGCGAAGGAAGGATTTAGAGATGTTTGGTAATGCTGTTCTATAAATAGAAATAATTTATGAATTGTTTCCTGCAGGAGCTCAAAGCAGAGCTCATCATCCTCTGGGCTTAAAGCTGCTGTGTGCTTCTGTGCTCTGAGAGCTGTTTGTGCTAGACAGAGGATCTGTCCCTGACAAGTAGCATCTGCACCGTGCAGCTGAACAGATTCTGAGCACAGCTACAAGCGCTTATTAGGATTTAGAAGAGGAACATCTGTGATGTAGAAGGCTGTGCAAATAGCTTTGGTGCACTTAAGTATCGCTTTCTGACCTGTGAGGTTATCAGAAATTGTGAACCTGCTTATTTGAGGGAAAAGGAGAGAGAGGGGCTGATGGGTGGATTGAAAGACAGTTAATAAGATAAGATAAGATATGTAGCTTTTGATCAGATCTCAGTGCACAATTTGTTGCATGTGGGCAGCCTGACTCCTATTCTGTTTTTTTCCCCTCTAAGTCTGTGGGCTTTGGGATCTGCTCTTCAGCGTGTAGCATTCTAAACACTGAGGTGATATATTTCAAGGTAGACAAAGTTCCTTGTTTTTGTAACACCATATTCAATTAAATTAACCCATGCCAAAAAAAGGTGTTATTATGGTATTATTTAAAAGAAGACACCAGAGGCATGTAATTTTATTTTATCATTACCAAACTGCCAAAAGCACCTCTCTACCTCTTCACCTCTGTTACTCAAAAAAGATGTACAGAGCCTTTAAAAACTGCATAAGAGAGCATTGAAACCAATCATTCCAAAAGACTTATGAAGTAGACCACGGTAACCATCCCTCACCTTTTTCATACCTTGTCTTCTTATCGATTTTAGTGGTCTCTGGAATGCAAATCCTCATGTACCTGGAAAGTAAAATGTGTAGGAGGAGTGATGCTATGCTGTTCCAATTGGGCAGCCCATTAGATCAAACCCATTGCGTTGTCTTCTTGAGCTCAAACTTGCCATTTTGCCAGTTGTCATTCTTCATAACAACATGCATTCTTTTCGTTCTAAGGATGAAATTCTGAAAGCAGCTGTGATGAAATATGGCAAAAACCAGTGGTCTCGTATTGCTTCCTTACTGCATCGGAAATCAGCAAAGCAGTGCAAAGCCAGATGGTAAGCGGGGAACGCCACAACTGGGAGAATTGGATTCATAATTAGTGGCAATTTAGAAGTAACTGCAGATGAATTTCTGTCTGCAGAGGAACTGTAGTTTGGACATTGTTTGATTACTTCTCTTGTGAATAACACACGTTCCTATTGATTGAAAGTAATAGCACAAGGAACATGTGAAACTCCTGGAGTGGGTCCAGAGGAGGGCCACTAAGATGATCAGAGGGCTGGAGCAGCTCTCCTATGAGAAACGGTTGAGGAAACTGGGTTTGTTCAGCTTGAGAAGAGAAGGCTGTGGGGTGATCTCATTGTGGCCTTCCAGTGCTTGAAGGGAGCACAGAAACAGAAGGGGAACGGCTGTTTGTGAGGGTGAATGGTGATGGGACAAGGGAATGGTTTCAAAGTGAGACAGGGGAGGTTTGGGTTGGATCTGAGGAGGAAGTTTTTCCCCCAGAGGGTGGTGAGGCACTGGCACAGGTTGCCCAAGGAGGCTGTGGATGCCCCATCCCTGCAGGCATTCAAAGCCAGGCTGGATGTGGCTCTGGGCAGCCTGGGCTGCTGGTTGGCGACCTGCACACAGCAAGGTTTTCAACCCAAGCCATTCTATGATTCTATGAAATCTCATTGTGACGATTTGAGGAAACACTGCAGTGAATTAGTTGAAGACAAATTGATAGATGACTCAGGACTGTCCCACTGAATGGTTTCTCGCTTTCCAACAGGTACGAATGGTTAGATCCAAGCATCAAAAAGACAGAGTGGTCACGAGAAGAAGAAGAGAAGCTGTTGCACCTGGCCAAGCTAATGCCAACCCAGTGGAGAACCATCGCCCCGATCATTGGGAGAACAGCTGCACAGTGTTTGGAGCACTATGAGTTTCTTCTGTGAGTTCCTGCTTTACTAGAGATGCACAGCAGGAAAATCTGCACAGTTTGTTGTATTGATGCATCATTCTCTTCTCCATTTATGCTAAAGAATGGTGGTTGCTAGTAGACTGAGTCCTTCCACTAGCAAGTCTCTAAGAATCATTTCTTTATTGTTGATGTGCTTAACACAAAGGAGGAAGCACGTGGAATTCAGGAGAATGGGCTTGAATACAGTATTTTCAAGGCTGACCCACTTTCTGAGCTTCAGTTTCAGGTTTACGTGGGTGTTGTTTGTCCTGATAAGCATGAGTGAGTATGTGAGAGAGAGGAGGAAAACAAACAGCAGAAAACCCATGCTGTTGTAATGGCTGAATGTGCAGCCATCACTTCTATGTGCTACAGAGGGTTTCTTTGGACCATGAGAAGGAAAAATTGTTTTCCCTTGTGAGCTTTTTTAATTCTGATGATTGAGTTCTCTGCTGTCAGCTTTGTCAGTGTTATATAATATTTCATTCTTGTATTACAATATGTTGTTTTTTCCTTCTCATCTAATTTAATGTTATCTGAATTTACCGTGTTCATAAATCTTTTCTGCAGTTATGAATTATATGAGAAGTGTAATGTATGATATAAGCTTTCTTGTTTGATCCATCTGTGGAGAGTTTTGAGAAAGGGCTGGTTATGCACCTGCAGGAGTACAGAGCCCATTGTAACATGCATGCAATGTATTTTTAGGGACAAAGCTGCTCAGAGAGACAATGAGGAAGAAACTGCTGATGATCCTCGGAAACTTAAACCTGGTGAAATTGATCCAAATCCAGAAACCAAACCAGCCAGGCCAGATCCTATTGATATGGATGAAGGTAAGATAGGAATTTGTTTGCTGTTTCTGACAGCTGTCTGGTTTTTTTGCTTTTCCTTTTTACAGAAGTTCCATACTCTGGAACTGTTTTTTTGTCTTATTTTTAATTCCTTCAGAGGATTCAATTTTTTCTCTTTCTTTTTGGTTTTATCTGAATTATGTGCCTGATCAGTTGGTTAAACTTTTTTCATTTTCTCTTTCGTTGTAGGTTTCTGACTTTCTCATTTCTTTTAGTCACTTTGACTGGCACTTTATTTCTTTGACAAATGCTCTGTTGGGGGACATCATTCCTTCTGTATATTCATCTTTTTCCTTACATCCTAGTTACACTCCCACTGAAACTCAGCACTTTTATTTTCCTGGCACTTTACAGTGTTAGGAGCTAAGAATTGCCCATTGGTAGAATGCCATGAACGTACCAATGGTGAACAGTCAGAGATTCAGTAGTAGGGTGCTCTTGGATCTGAATGCAAACATAACAAGTTAACCATCACAGTGCTACTGAATCTAGCTGCAAATGAAGTTACTTCATTTCATTCGTGCATTCAGCTTGCATCTTTCTAAATGCATTTTGATTTTCTGCATTGGTTTCTTCTTAGCGGTAGGCATTTTTACTTGAAACCTTTGTTTCATCTGACTGTTTAGAAAACAGATTGGAGCAGCTTGGAGAAAAGTAAAGTTTAGCGATGAGAAATCATGTGACAGCATTGATTCCTTCAGCTTTTAAAGATTGCTAATCTTTATGTCGCTTTTTCTCTCTCGTTACTGCTGTGTTTAAGAGCAAAATTAATAGCTGTGTTTGTGCTATTGCAGATGAACTTGAAATGCTGTCTGAAGCTAGAGCTCGTCTGGCTAATACACAGGGAAAAAAGGCTAAAAGAAAAGCAAGAGAGAAGCAGCTGGAAGAAGCTAGGTAAGTATATGCTTAGTTTTAGATACTGGGACTCGTTTCATGGACTCTGGGGCATATGGAATGCATAAATTCAGGCACAGGCTTAAGGCTTTGCAGAATTGGACATTTTGATAGTTAGTTAGGACAAGTTAATTCCTGTTGTCTAAATATATGCAGCAATTGATTAAATAGTCCCAGATCTTGGAATCCAGGAGCCACCTGTAGATGGGCACTACAAATCACACAGTATTACTGTCTGTTTAGACGGCTTGCTGCCCTCCAGAAAAGACGAGAACTTCGAGCTGCTGGGATTGAGATACAGAAAAAAAGGAAAAAGAAAAGAGGTGTGGATTACAATGCAGAAATCCCGTTTGAAAAGAAGCCTGCGCCTGGTTTTTATGATACATCAGAGGAAAACTACCAGATTCTGGATGCAGATTTCAGAAAGCTACGTCAGCAGGACCTGGATGGAGAATTAAGATCGTAAGTATGTGCTGTGCTTTGGGAGGGAGCAGTGTGTTGGAACACAAACAGTGAAACAAAAACCACGTGTGTATACATTTGTGTGTTTATTTTTCTATATATGTGTATATGCTTGTATATATGTATTTTTTATACTTAAAAATAATTCATTTCTACCATAATATTTACTATATGTGAGCATATATTTATCAGATACAAACAAAATAGAAAAAACAAGTGTGTAAGCAAGTACTTAAAGAGCATTTATCTGCTTATCTGTAAAAGCACATGAATGCAGATGTAATCGGCACGGGTGTGTATGTAAACATATAAATAGAAGTCATATAATAATATAATTAATAAATAGGAATAAAATATAAACAATAATTTAATAATAGTAGTGGTAAATAATTAAATTTGCTAGTTTCAGGAAATGTCTGAAATACTGTGTGTAGGTGTTGTGTTTTCCACGGGACAGACATAGTGCAGGCTGCATCTGCCTTTCTGAAATATCTGGTTGACCTTTTTGCCATGAAAATCAAAGTTCTTACACACATCTGTGCTCTTTAAATGGAAATCCTTGGTTCTGTTAAAGCTCTTTTTATTTTGTCTCATAGTATTTGGAATCCTTTCTCAAAGCCCAAACGTTAGTGCTGCTGACAGAACTAACTTCTATTTGTTGCAATATTACTTTTGATGCAATCTGAGTATTTTGATGTAATAATCTTAAGTAGAATTTCCTTGAAAGCTTTGTTTCATCCCCTGCCTTCCCAACACAAGCCCCAAAACACTCAAATGGAGTGATTAAATGCACATCTTCAGCAGAAGCCATATGACACGTATCTAATTGTTCAGTTACATTCCTTGTCACTTTTACCAAGAGCTTTGTGCTGAGAGAATAGGTTCAGTACTACATACAGTTCAGCTTCTTAGCTTGTGATGTAATTAATCCTTTCTGTATGGTTCTTAGTTCAGTGGATCTGTTAGGAGGTTCCAACTGCCACGGATTACTGAATTACACTTTCACAGCCTGAATCTATTGATGTTTGGAAAAGTACACCATATTTATTAAGCACTAAAGGAAACATAGTTCCCATGTCCCACAGGAAATGTTCTTCCTTCGGCTGCTGCTGGAGGAACAGGGACTGTTCCCATCCACTTTATAACTAGCTCAGTTCTTGCACTGACATTTTGTGTTGCTTCAGTGATGATAGCTGAAACAACCAACCACCTGCTGCCTAATTTTGTAATGTAGAAGCATTATGCTGCTTTCTTGGAGGTTCTGCTGCAGGGTCTGTAGACCGTATCTAATCACTTCTACACAAATCATTTAATTCCTCCTGACTCATGCTTCATTTCAGCCTATTTTGTTAGAGTAGAGCTTTGTTTTTGGTGTTATTTTGTAGCTGCTCTAAAACGATTCTTTTGTCTGTAATAACAGTGAAAGGGAGGGGAGAGAGCGCAAAAAGGACAAACAACACATGAAACGAAAGAAAGAATCAGACTTGCCTTCAGCTATTCTGCAGACCAGCGGGGTGTCAGAGTTTACAAAAAAAAGAAGTAAACTAGTGCTTCCAGCACCTCAGGTAAACAGTGCATTGAATCATAGAATCGTGGAATGGCCCTGGTTGGAAGGGACCTCAAGGATCACGAAGCTCCAGCCCCCCTGTGCCATGCAGGGCCACCAACCTCCCCATTTCACAGCAGCCCAGGCTGCCCAGGGCCCCATCCAACCTGGCCTTGAACACCTCCAGGGATGGACGGGGCATCACAGCCTCTCTGGGCAGCTGTTCCAGCACCTCACCACTCATAGCAAAGAACTTCCCCCTGACATTCAACTTAAATCACCCCTCCCTCAACTTGAAACCATTTCCCCTTGTCCTGCTGTTATCTGCCCTTTCAAAGAGTTGAGTTTTACCAAGCAAGCTATATGTTTTTCATTTCATAGAATCCCAGAATGGCCTGGGTTGCAAAGGCCCACAATGCTCATCCACTTCCAACTCCCTGCTATGTGCAGGGTTACCAACCAGCAGCCCAGGCTGCCCAGAGCCACATCCAGCCTGGCCTTGAATGCCTGCAGGGATGGGGCATCCACAGCCTCCTTGGGCATTTCTTACAGTTTGGTTAGGGGGCAAAGGAAATCACTGTCAAGAGGATCAAACCACCCTTTTCTAATGAGCCCAATATATCTCATATGATTTCTTTCAAAGAGTTGATTCCCCTGCTGTTTGTAGGCTCCCTTTAGGTACTGCAGGCTGCAATGAGGTCACACCACAGCCTTCTCTCCTCCAGGCTGAACAAGCCCAGCTCCCTCAGCCTGTCTTCGTAGAGGAGGTGCTCCAGCCCTCTGATCAACTTTGTGGCCCTCCTCTGGACCCTCTCCAACAGCTCCCTGCCTTTTTTTATTGGGGGCCCCAGACCTGGATACAGTACATTGCTCAGTAAACCACTTAAAAGGCCAAAGCCAATCAACAATTCCACTTCTGTCAAATTAGTCTAGCAGTCATATTTGTCTTACTATGCCTTGAGATTCTCTCTTTGCTGGAAGGCATACGTAGACCAGAAGCAAATAGGTTTACCTAAGGACATTGTACTTGGACTGATTTTTAAAGTAGACTTGGTGGAAAATGTCTGAAGGAGATAAATTTCATCGTTGTGTATTTGAGCCTTTTGCATCAGGGGGATGGGATGTGCCTTGTGACAGTGGTATTTTAGAAACATGACTTCTTAATTGGTTTCAGCATGCATGTAGCACTAATGCAGTGTATATCTGGGAAGGGAGTAATGGTGTGAGGGTGTTATTAAAACAAATGGGGAATACCTCCATGCAATACGGATTTTGTTTTTCTAAAGATAATGCTTTGTTTTATTGTTTTCCTTTCAAAGATATCTGATATAGAGCTTGAAGAAGTTGTTAAAGTAGGCCAGGCAAGTGAGATTGCACGCCAGACTGCTGAGGAATCTGGAATTACAAACTCAGCCTCCAGCACTCTTCTGTCTGAATATAGTGTGACCAACAACAGCATAGCTCTGAGGACCCCCAAAACTCCGGCAGCACAAGACAGGATCCTGCAGGTACAGTTTAAATGCACGGATTACACTTTTGCAGTGGTCAGCTAAATAAAAGGGCAAGTAGCATCAAAGCATTCCTTAGACATGTGATATTGGGGTTTAAGCTGGTACACACTCTGCAGGATGCAATGAAAGGCATGGATGCAGATCTTCCCCTGTCTGATCAGCTGTTACCATGTTTAGCATTAATCCCAGCATGGCCTGGGTTGCAAAGGCCCACAGCGCTCCTCCAGTCCCAACCCCCTGCTGTGTGCAGGTCGCCAACCAGCAGCCCAGGCTGCCCAGAGCCACATCCAGCCTGGCCTTGAATGCCTGCAGGGATGGGGCATCCACAGCCTCCTTGGGCAACCTGTGCCAGTGCCTCACCACCCTCGGGGGGAAAAACTTCCTCCTCATATCCAACCCAAACCTCCCCTGTCTCACTTTAAAACCATTCCCCCTTGTCCCATCACCATCCACCCTCACAAACAGCCGTTAACCATTAACCATTTTCCTGGTGTCTTGTGTAATTTCTCTCTGTGTAAGCAAGTATCAAAAATAGGCATGATCACATCATTTAAACCATTTCCTTTATTTTTTTTACAACTTAGTTTTGGTATTCACTTTTTTCCCCCTTGAGTTAACCAGAATTAATGGAAACAATTCAAGAATATTTTCCTAGCACTTTATTTGCTTAAAAACACTCAAGATAAGGATTATCAAACTATTTTCTGCTATATGCAGTAGTTTCTTTACCTCAGCTTATTTTTTGAATGCCTTAATTCTTTATGGTGACAGGCAAAGTTAGAAGTGTGGTGGGGAAATGTCTTTGAAGTGCAGTTTGGATGGCCTTAGGCCTTCATTGATGTGAATTTTCAGGGTATCAGTGTGATATGTCTTGTGGAATCTTTGGGATCTTTAAGATGACTGATGAATCTTTTAAACTTATGGAGTCTAGCAAGCCAAAATTAAAATGCCTTTCTGCAGAACGTAATGGTTTGTTAATATCCAGTGTACTGGTGTAATAGAAGTGCTAAACATTTTATACAGTTTGATTGGATATTCCAATAACTTCAGTTATTCTTACTGCTAGTGAACCTGTTAAACGTACATAGTAGAGTGTGACCCTCCAAGTCTCAGTAACATACTGTGTGTTGTGTGGTTTACAGGAAGCACAGAATCTTATGGCTCTCACAAATGTGGATACGCCGTTGAAAGGAGGTCTTAACACCCCCCTGCATGAAAGTGACTTCTCAGGGGTAACCCCGCAGAGGCAGGTTGTTCAGACTCCAAATACGGTGCTTTCCACACCATTCAGGTAAAGCAAACTCTTCTTTCAGTGGGTGCTTGGCTGAGCACCTATGTGATGGGGTGGGGAAGTGGGTGTCTGTGTGAAGAGACAGATCAGCACTGCAAAATGAGTTTCAGCTCTCTTTTGTTTCAAGCATATATTGAACAACTTTTTCATTTTCTGTTTTTTACAAACTCAGCCATGTTATCTTCATTGCTATTTCTACTGTGTGCAACATACAGAATCCTAGAATGGCCTGGGTTGCAAAGGCCCACAATACTCCAGATCCAACCCCCTGCTGTGTGCAGGTCACCAACCAGCAGCCCAGGCTGCCCAGAGCCACATCCAGCCTGGCCTTGAATGCCTGCAGGGATGGGGCATCCACAGCCTCCTTGGGCAACCTGTGCCAGTGCCTCACCACCCTCTGGGGGAAAAACGTCCTCCTCATATCCAACCCAAACCTCCCCTGTCTCACTTTCAAACCATTCCCCTTGTCCCATCACCATCCACCCTCACAAACAGCCGTTCCCCTCCTGTTTATCCACTCCCTTCAAGCACTGAAGGCCACCATGAGGTCACCCCACAGCCTTCTCTTCTCCATGCTGAACAAACCCAGTTCCCTCAACCGTTCCTCATAGGAGAGCTTCTCCAAACTCAGTCATGTTTGGTCCAGGATGAGGTGTTCTGTACTCTACAGCAATATAAATTGTACTGTAATACAATACAATAGCAATACAAAAATAATAGCAGAGCATTAGTAGTAAGGTGGCATGTCATTCCATATGTGGATTCTAGCTTTTCCAAAGCATTAGCTCTGAGCTGAAGGTGGGAGGTCCTTTAGCCAAATCCATTTGGAATTTTTGAAAAGCTGGGGTAAATATTTTATAAGCCATATAAATCCAAAATTAAATATTCCTTATATTGCCAATCTAAATAGTGTGGGCTTGTTGGTTTAACTCTGAGAGTGGGTCCTGAATAAATACATATCCCACAAGAGCCAAATACCATAGAGCTAAAAAATAATATGCTTGGTACATTTTGTCTGTCAAATTTTTCAACCTAAGTTCTATTTTGACTTGTATCGTGCCAGTAGAAGTAGAGAATGAAGTAAAAGGGACCTTTATGGCAGCTTTTCAAAAGCACTTCTGTTTTGTTAAAAGCTGTATGCAAAAGCCCTGTACTTTTAATGAATCTACATGAATGATCTGTTGGAGTAAGTGAGGTGTAGAATGACTAGAAATGTCCTGGGGGGATCTGGATGTTCGTTTGGGTCATTGTATATTAGAAATATTTGTATTTTCTGAGGTATGGGGGTATTGCTTTGTTTTTTCAGCTTCTGAAGTTCAGGTTTACCCATGTAAATATGACAGCTTTGTATCAGCTTGGTTTCTTGATAAAAGTTCAATGTTAGTGTAAAAATCCAATACCTTGAGAGGTTGTGCCCTCCATTAGATTTTATTTTGTCAGGTCCTAGTTCTAAGAATTATGTTATAACATTGACTCTTATAATGTGGGTGGAACTGAGACAGCTGAAAAAGAATCCTATTATATATAATATAGTTATATATAATATATATAATATAATTATATATATATATAATATAATTACCTAGAAATATTTTTTTCTAGTTAGCATAAAGCTTTTTCTGCTAGCATAATCAAGTAAGTATATATATATAATATGAAACATTCATTTCATAGAATTGTGATTTGGTTGGAAAGAATGGTCAAGATCATCTAGCCAGCCATCCTCCTATCACCATTTGAAAACATGAAGATGTTTTTTTCTGCTTCTTTAACAGCTCCTTATCACATTTTATTTTTGTTTTTAAACTGTTACCATCACCACATGAAATCTCATCCTAAATAGGCAAGAGAAAACTTGTGCCCATCCAAGGCCACGTCTGTATATCCTGTAATTTTTCAGGTAGGAGGTTATTGGAATAATCTAGAAGAAAAGCAAGTAAGGCCCATGGAATTTAAGACATAATTCATTTTTCCTAACCTTGTACGCCTAAAAGTAATTTATGTGATACAGTTATCCTTGAATTAGCAGTGAGAGGGAAGCAGCACTATCAGAGTAATCCCTTACATTATAAGATGGGACAGCTGTTACACTGTAGGAGCTCAGAGTGAATGACTTGCCCCAGGTGGCAGGGAAATGAGAGGCAGCATTTAAATCCTAATTACAACAGGATATTTGACAGGAATGATCTCTTCCCAATGGCTGCAGCAGGGGGTTGATGTAGTTCCTGAAACTTCTCTTAATGTGATGATGTGTTTGGGTTTCAGCTTAACAGGCCTTTGGTTACACCTTGATAGATTTTTCTTCTGATTGCATCTGAAGTTTTCACTGCCTCGTGGCTGTACACACAGAGCATAGATTGAATTGACCAGTTGTGTCGTGTAACTTCTTGTGGTGCTCAGACGTTGGAAAGCTGTGTTCTTTGGGGAAAACAAAACAGAATTGTATTTGCACTTCCTCCAGAACACCTTCCCAAGGACAAGAAGGCTTAACTCCTCGTGGAGGGCTGACTCCTAAACCTGTGGCTGGTACAACTCCTGGTAGGACTCCGCTGCGTGATAAATTGAACATCAACCCAGAAGAGGGCATGGCAGATTACAGTGACCCATCTTATGCAAAACAGATGGTAAGAATTGAAGTTAAATGCTTTGTTAACTATCAGGGTTTTTAATTTGTTGCCTTCTAAACAGAACTTTATTTTATGTAAACTGTTATTTCTGCTGCTTGTCGGTGCTCATCACCTGGTAAACTCAAATCTTTGCACTGTCATAACATCAATGATTCATTTAAAAAAACAGATTTTTTTCTGATTAAAACAGCTTTGCTTGCACCTAGTGAAAGCACTCCAGAATTATTCATCAAAGAAGACATAGTTAAGTTTCAGTACTACTTGAATCTATGAAGCTGAGCAGGAAATGTACCTTAAAGAAGCATTCAGTTTTCTTGCAGTTATGCTCAGCCCTCAAATCCTCCATCATCCTCACTTGCCAGTTCTCCTACAGGACCTTTTGATCTGTCCCATTAGCAGCATTGAGCTAGAGGAGTTTTTGCCATTAGTAGCACTGTGGAGATGTCCAGTGATCTGAATGCCATCCAGACTCTTGTCTTGGGCAACAGATGTTTCTATTCCTGCAGATTGTGCCAGAGGTGCCCTGCCAATTAGTCTTGGTATAAAAAGAGCTTTTAATTAACAGGTGGCACCTTGGGAACTCTTTTTATGTGGCTGATTGTGCAGCCTTAACCATAACTTTGGATGTCTCCTACAAGAGCTGTTGATGATTGTTCTTTTTGGGGTAGCTTAGAATATCCATCTCAAGTATTTGGTATGTTCATCTCATAAAATAACTTAGATATTGGAGTTTCATCATTGCTTGAAAACAACGCTTATTTGATATCCTTGTACGTATTTTGGTTCTGTTTTAGTCTGTTTGAAGTAAAGCCTTTTGCTGTTAAAAGGAGTGCTGGGACTTTGGGTTCTTGATGAACTTCCAGATCTGGTGGTGTTTGTTTCCATTTTCTTTCAGTACAACGATCCACAAAGCTGGGATCAACAGCAATGAAAAAAAAATAAGGTTAGGCTTACAAATGTGTGAGAGGGAATGCATTTTCACATTATTTTCAGTTTCTTAAAAGGCATTTTTGTGAATCTCTGCACTTGTTCTGACACTGCTGGAAGGTGAAGATGCCATGCTGTATGTTTCAGTATATTTGAGCTTGTTTGGAGACTGTTAGCTGTCTTTAAGAAACCTCTATGTTGCTTTTAGCATCAGAGAGCATTTATGTGGATACATTCTGGGCAGTGTTTTCTAGGCTAGCTTGGTTTGGTAGCATGTCTCTTCTGTCAGACCTCAAAAATTCAGGTTTTATTGGCTTTGTGTAGTACTTGTGTGTTGTTGATGTCCTTTGATGCAGATGAATGGAATTCTGTCATACTCTTCATCAGTGCCTGAATTCAGAAACATATCTTACCACTCTTCCAACAGGAGAGAGAATCTCGTGAACACCTTCGCCTGGGGCTCATGGCCCTTCCTGCTCCAAAGAATGACTTTGAGATCGTTCTACCCGAAAATGCAGAGAAAGAACTTGAGGAACCTGAAGTAGATGAAGCCTTTGTAGAAGATACTGCTGATATAGAAGCCCGCAAGCAGGTAGATATGTAATGCAGAGAGTGTCTTTTCCTTAAAATACAGTGTGGTCCTTGTATGTTTCTCATAGTTTCATACACGTTTAGTGGAAGTTGTACAGCTTCTGTGGAATAAGAGGCTCAAATGTGTTTGCTTTCTACCTGCCATCAGAGCGAACACACACATGCAGGCATAGTCAGTTTTCACTCTGAATCATTTTCCTACCCAGTTAATGCTATGTGGTGCTCCTTTTCTTTTATGATAGTCTTCTTTTGTTCCCTCAGGGTAAAACATACCATTAAAAACACTTTTCAGCAGAGGTACGTGCTTAAAATTAAGCATGTGATTATAGTGCTTTTTTCAGTGTCAGGTTACACTCAAGGTTAAAAGTTATTCTTTGGAAGACCTAAGAGGTGCATTCAAATTCAGGCAGACTGGTAGAAAATAAAGAAGTAACTGTGCAGTGAGTTGGTCAGTTTATAGGAGATTACTACAGGATTATCCAGACAGAGAAATTGTGACTAGATCCTTATTGTTGTTTCAGAGTTATAGAAGCCTGTAGGAAATAGTAGCTTTAAACCTCTGTTCTGCTAATTAGATAGCTGTAATAGCCAGTATTTTCATTTTAAGTGTATCCTTTATATGTAGAAAGTGGAACGTAGGGAAAAATACTGTGTATGTCATAGAGGGGGACAGAGAATGTTGGCTACAGATTTAAAAATCTCTCTTAATGGCAGATTTCAAGCTTAAGGAGGGTAGATTTAGACTGGATATGAGGAAGAAGTCTTTTGCAGTGTGGGTGGTGAGGCACTGGCACAGGTTGCCTGGAGATGTGGTGGATGCCTCATCCCTGGAGACTTTTAGGGCAAGGCTGGATCAGGCCCTGGGCAAACCAATGTAGCTGTGGTGTCCCTGTGCATTGCAGGGCATTTGGGCTGGAAGACCTTTAAAAGTCCCTTCCAACTCTAAGGATTCTATGATTCTGTGATTTCCTGTCTGGACAGTTACAGTAGAATTAAAACTTAATGTTGAGAAATTGGTAAAGAACTCTTTTCGGGATGAAGGAAAACGTGATGGCTTGAAAAGGCATGTTAGGATTGCTATCCTCTTAATTTCTTACTCATTAACATGAGTGAATATTAATTATGATGTCATCACATAAAGTGTGAGCTCTTACTTGGCTCTGGGTTCGTAACATGAGGTCTTTGTTCGTTATGGAATCTTTGCTGCAGTAATCAATTGGTGTTTCTATCACATGTATCTGTAGGAAGCATTTGATTTTATTGCAGTAGCTGAAGTAACCTTTAGCATGTCTGTGTAGGCTCTCCGAGATGCAGAGAGAGCCAAGGAGCTGAAGAGAATGCACAAAGCTGTTCAGAAAAATCTACCAAGACCCTCAGAAGTAAGTGAAAATAACATTCATTTTCAAGGAAAAAAAAAAAAGGTTTTAATTGTTAAAGGAAGAAATGCATTTAAGTATACAGTGAAAGAATAAAATCCTTTCTTTAGTATGCTGAACTCAGCTTTTCACAGTGAAAATATCAAGAGGTTTATCATATGCACAGCTGAAAATATGACTGGATTCTGGTTGCTGGATCTGTGTCATACAGCAAGGGTTTTTAGCACCAAGACTATTTGATTTAACTGATGAAAAGAAATCTTGTTCAGATAGAATGTAACGTGCAATGTTTGTGAACCTGTTTATTCTTATGCAGGTTAATGAAACAGTATTGAGACCTGTGAATGTAGAGCCACCTCTAACAGATTTGCAGAGAAGTGAAGAGCTAATAAAGAAAGAGATGATTACAATGCTTCATTTTGACCTTTTACACCACCCGTTTGGAGAACAGCCTGCTGGTAAGAAGGGGAAAGGCCCAGGATTTGGAACCAACAATGCAGAACATATGGCTTACTTGGAACAAAACCCTTATGAGAAGTTCTCCAAAGAGGATCTCAAGAAGGTGAGAATTACACAGCCTAATTACCACTGACCTGTGGTCATTTTATGTCACAGTTCTGTAATCTTGTAGTAAAAGGTGGAGTCAAGCCTGTGCTGAGTTGGGTGATCTCTTAGTACAGACTGAATATGACATTGATAGCCTGCTTACCACATGGAGCAGTAGAATTATCCAGTTATGCTTCTCATGCCTAATCCAACAATGCTGTGCTGGAGCAGAGCCTGCTGTGGCAACTGATCTTCAAAGCATACCTGCTTAGAGTGCTGAATAAGCAGAGCAGGCTGCCACTGGGTGAAACGAGGAGGCTGTCTGGGTGTTCTGTTGTCTTTTGCATTGTAATTCCAAGCTAAATAGTCCTGAGCCAGGGGTTCCAGTTTGGCTCTTTTATGGAAGCAGCTACAGATGTTGCATTTGCTGCCAAGTGACAAAGTGTTTAGACACACAGTGCTATGGTTAGCTCTTTCAAAGAACTTCACCTGTATACTTGTGCCAGTAACCTTTTACCAAATGCTTAGAGGGGTGATGATAAAAATAAAGGTAAAATCACGTGCCACCAAATCATCTGTTTTAAGCTGATTCCTGCTATCTGCAACTTGCATTCTGACAACAGCTGTTATATCTTCACCTAAATCTCATTACTTCAAAGTGAGTTTATGGATAAATGTGCAGATTTTAAACCCTCTCCTTGACTGTATCTGACTAATGAATCAACAGCCTAAAATGAGAAACACTGAACAGCATGTACTTCAAATTGCTGTTAAATGAAAACTTATACTCAAAAATTTCTTAGCAGGAGAAATAAAAGGTGGAAAATGCAGCTAGATCAAGAATCTCACTGCCCTGCCTATGTCAGATTGTTTCACTGGAAACATTCTCTGAGTGCTTTCTCTGGTTTGTTTTGAATGCAAGAGGAATTCAGTTGTCTGTTACTTCCCTTGAAGACTGCTGCGTAGTCAAGAAATTTTTGTCTGGGAACCTCAGAATCCCTAGAATTTTTTTCTCCTACCTGTGTTTTGTAATTAGTTTATTTCCTCATCATTTCCAACAGGCACAGGATCTACTGGCACAAGAAATGGAAGTGGTGAAGCAAGGAATGGGGCATGGAGAGCTCTCAAGTGAGGCTTATAACCAGGTGTGGGAAGAATGTTACAGCCAAGTGTTGTATCTGCCTGGACAGAGTCGCTACACAAGAGCTAACTTGGCCAGCAAAAAAGACAGGATAGAGTCACTTGAAAAGAGGCTTGAGGTCAGTGTCACTTTGTTCTGTTTGCACGCTTCTGCACCTGCTTTTCTATTTTAATTCTCATTATGTATTATTTATTTGCACGTCATTCAGGTCTGTCAGTGGCATTCCTTTAAAAAAAGTTGTTGGGAATTCCCTTTGTGACTACAGAGATGTTTTTGAGGCGTTTCCATTGCTTTCTTTCCTTTTCTTTAAAAGTATTTCTGCAGTATTCCCTGGCACAGTGTTCTCTGAACATGAGAAGAACCTGGTCTAGTATAAATGGGGAGGCTGGTGGCCCTGCCTGTGGGAGGGGGGTTGGAGATTCGTGATCCTTGAGGTCCCTTCCAACCTGGGCCGTTCTGTGATTCTGTGGAGTCTCTGGTGACAGTCAGAACCCTGCCTGGATGCTTCCCTGTGCAACCTGCTGTAAGGAACTGCTTTAGAGGGAGGTTGGACTTGGTGATCTCCAGAGGTCCCTTCCATTCCCTGTGATTGTGTGATGTCACCCATTTTATTCTCAAGTGGAAAGCAAGTCAGTCTCAGCTCTTCTTTATTTCAGGGTGGCATCTTTGCAGTTTACTGAGTCTCTGCACTTAGCAGATGGGATGCCAGGTCTCTCTGGTTTTGTGCTTTGTCTCTGGTAGTGGACAGTATGAGGTATTTCAGGGAAACATGTTTTACAGCTCTCTCTCTGTCCTAAAACCTCTGTCATGTTCTCATTTCAACTCAAGATTTGTTTTCTGCTTGACTTGACTTTGTCAAGTATTTTACCATTGCCTGTTACATGGATGAAGGTTCAGCTAGTTCCAGTAGTGTCCCAAAAGGAGAATAGTAGTTGTGATTCTATTCCCTTTTATCAGGAAGAACTAGGCTCTTCATATGCGTATTTTAAACTCAAATTTTGAGTTCGGTGTGTATTTCCTTAACAAGTATTTTCTGCTTGTACAAATTGAGAGGTCAGATAGCAGCACCTCACCAGTGTGTCTGCATGTAGTTTTAGTACCATGGGAGCGTACTGGGACCAAGAGTTGAAATGAGACCACTCTTCTGCTTTCTGAGTTGTACAGTGCAGCATTCTCCAGTGACAGCTTGCTTGCACTTACTTGTTCAAAACGCAGCAGTCACAAGCATTAAGATTTGATGAAATATCCTAGAATTGAGCCAAATTCTATCCTTCCTAGATTGCTGCTCTGTGTTTGAGTTGCTCCACAGACTGCTTCTTGTGATCATTTGCCAATCTGACTTTCTTATCTTCATTCCAACCCTGTTCAGATCCTCTGTTCTGAGCTCTGTCAGCCTCTGTCATGTGTTGCTCGTCGGTAAAATGCAGTGAGTGCATTTGGTTCATTATTTGGTGCATTATCTGGTTCACACAGCAGCTTTGGAAAATCAGCTGCAAGGATGACTCAGTCACACTTTCACTCTGCTATCCAGTCATATCGGAGTTCTGATCTGCATGAGAAAAAGAAAAGCTTACAGGCAACTTACACTTGGAGCAGCGTGTTGATTTGGTGTGTGCCCTGACTTTGTGCAGTCCTGTGCTAACAGTGAGTTTTCTGATACTGGATTTTTTTGTTTGTTTCAGCAGCAATTATCAGAATCCCTCACTCTCTCATGCTTAATCAGTTAGGGCTGTGTCGGGAAGAAATCATCTGAGATATATTGGGCTCATTAGAAAAGAGTGGTTTGGTCCTCTTGACAGTGATTTCCTTTGCCCCCTACCCAAGCTATAAGAAATGCCCAAGGAGGCTGTGGATGCCCCATCCCTGCAGGCATTCAAGGCCAGGCTGGATGTGGCTCTGGGCAGCCTGGGCTGCTGGTTGGCGACCTGCACACAGCAGGGGTTGGAAGTGGATGAGCGCTGTGGGCCTTTGCAACCCAGGCCATGCTGGGATTCTATGAAATGAAAAACATATAGCTTGCTTGGTAAAACTCAACTCTTTGAAAGGGCAGATAACAGCAGGACAAGGGGAAATGGTTTGAAGTTGAGGGAGGGGTGATTTAAGTTGGATGTCAGGGGGAAGTTCTTTGCTATGAGAGCAGTGAGGTGCTGGAACAGCTGCCCAGAGAGGCTGTGGATGCCCCGTCCATCCCTGGAGGTGTTCAAGGCCAGGTTGGATGGGGCCCTGGGCAGCCTGGGCTGGTATTAAACATGGAGGTGGGTGGCCCTGCGTGTGATGGGGGTTTGGAGCTTCACAATCCTTGAGGTCCCTTCCAACCCAGGCCATTCTATGATAAGATTCTATGATAAAATTTAAGCTAGTTTTAAATTACACAGGACATGTGCTCAGACTTGCAGTATGTCATTATCTGTTTTCTAGAATACAATTTTAACCTAAAAGATTCTTTAAATTATGCAAGCATGAGACTACTTTTTTCCAATGATAAAAGGAAAGTTCATTTTCTTAAGTTTTCCTGTGTTTAACGTCAGTGTATCTACAAGTAAACAGCTGCAAACACCTCCTACCATGGAAATGACCCCTTAGGGGATAGTCGGGCTGAATCTCCGCCTGATTCACGTGAAATGCAGAATGGGTGTGTTTTGTAATGTCTGCTGACCGAGGATTTAGTCTACACGTGGACTCCCTGAGTGTTGGGCCACCGTTTGGGCCATGAGCAGGTCATCTCCGTGGAGCTGGGATTCGAGCAGCTTGGCCTTAGTGCTGAGTGCCTGTCATGCTGCTGCTTGCCCAGCAGAGAGCACCACCGTCCCACATAACGCTGCTCTCGTCTTGCTGCATTTTCCTGACAGCTTTGCAAGCGCAGCAGCACCCAGCTTGCATGGCAGGAGGGGCTGTGCTGGCATCCCACTAGCAATCAGAGGGCTGTAACAAATTTGTGTACAAATACTTTGGAAATTTAGATATTCTACACCCAAAACTGCTTTAGAAGTAGATTATTAAAGCTGCGAAGTCAAACAGCCAAAGTTAGGGAATGCACAGGCAGCCTTACTCTGGCAGCTTTAATTTCCCTATGCATATACATTATGAGACAGTCTTTAATTTTGTGATTACAGCCTAGTTTTTTTCCACAGACTCATTTACTGCGAGGATGGATGGTATTTGCTTAATGAGTAGCTATTGAATATTTTGTTTTCTCATCATTGTTCAGTGTGTGGCCCTCTGCCTTTATGCTGCAGATTATTTCTGAGGTCTGCATTGATTACTTCTGTGTGGGCTTCTTTACGCTGTTCATCTCTGTTTATATCCTCCCAGTATTTGAATAAATGGTTGCCAGTGGTATTAAGGATAGTGAAGCAGGGTGAGATCAAAAAAATCATTTATTCAGCTCCTTCTGCATTTGTTCATTCTGTCAGTACTTGTTCTCTGGTCAGCTAGCTAGCATTGCACAGACTGAAGGCCCTGTCAAGAGGAAAGCTCCATGAAAGAGACAGGTAACAAAAGCACAGCCAGCTTTGGCTGTGATCATCAAGCTCCACGTCTTGCTAACATCTTCAGATTAGCCAGAAGCTTTGAGCTCTGCTAGACAAGGATATAATTGCTTGGTGCACTCAGAGTGAGGTGAGAGCAAGCTTGTTCATGCCTTTACCACACCCTAATCAGGCTGGCTGCAGGTGCAGGGATAGGACTGGGTTGCCTTTCACTGATGTTTGTTGAGTGCAGGTGAACTTTGCAGAGTTAAATTGGAGCTGAAGAGCTCCACACGTGTATGCAGACTGTGGTTCGTTGCAGCTCTGTTGCCTGCCCTATGTAGAAATGTCTTAAAAGAGATATATAGAGGTATAGTTCTCAAAGTATAGATTACCAGCTGGCCTGTTTTAGTTAATAATAAATTGAAAGCATAGTAGTTCAATGAACAAACGAGTATAGAATGGAAATAAAAAGAAATGGAAAATCAACACAGCTTTTTTCTCCTTTCCTGTTCCTCAGAGATGATAAAACTTGCCTTCATTTTAAGGTTTTCCCAAGGAATGTTATCTGAAAGCAGTATCAGTTGAATTAATTATTGTAATGGGAAGTATCAGAAAAATGCAGTACCCCAAGGTATTTGCTTGTTCTCTGTCTTCTTAGGAGAGAACAAAAACTGAAATAGGATCTGCCAGCAACAACTGATACTGGTCAGCTCTCGGGCTGCCTCTTGCCTTTCCTGTTGCACTAAGATGAGTAGGAGAAAGCCACGACTGCTCAGTGGTAGGTGCTGGGGCCAGCTGCACGTTGTGTGCTGCTTCCCTATGGGACTGCTGACACCCTGTGTGAAAATGACAGCCATTTCCAGCACTGCCTTTATGGCTCAGTGGTTGGATCGATGGTGTGGACAAGTGGTGTCTTTTCTCTAATTGGCTTCGTTTTGCTACCTGTGTGATTTAGTGGTGGCAGCTTTGGGTATGTGGACACAGCAGGTCAGTGCTGTTACTGATGGACTTGAGGAGGCAAAGCAGAGCAACCATGAAGAGCTTCTGTTTGCTTGGATATCTTTCCCAGGCATCATCTATAGTAATACACAATACAATGATAGATTTAGCTTGGAATACTGGAACATATTTTTGTGTCTCCTTTGAATATTTTAGACACTGTAAATGGGAGGAGGGTACGACTTGAACATTTAGAAGTCACGGTGTTTTGTGTCCATGCAGGTTAATCCCCCTGATTTCACTGTGAGTCAATGGTGCAGTTTGCTTTTGCTTGAATCTAGGTGGGATTTCCTGATCTTTGCATTTACTTCTACAGATGTGGTGTATTTGTTCCAGGGTGCCTATCCTGCAGGTTAGTCCTTTCACAGATGGGAGTATTCTCAACACAGTGGCACTGAGTCACTGTATCAGTTCTCTGCAACACCTTGCATTTCCTTCTCTTCCAAGCAGCGCACTTACAAAGCAAACTATTCCTACCCCAGGTTATGTGTTAAGCCAGGAACCTTATCAAGAGAAAGGAAGTAGTAGAGGCATCTGTTGAAGCTAATTGCTTCCCTTTGTAATTCAGAACACGAGATGTGTTTGCCAGTGTTACTCTCTATTTGAAGAGTTCATAATGTTGGCTTTGCTGCTTTCTGGTACTTCTGTT